TCTGTACATAAATAATTATATTGGCCTTGTGGTCATGTCCCAGAGTTCCTGAATGTTGTGGTCATACTTGTTTATTTCTAAAATATTTTATTTATTATTTTTATTTTATGGTATTAGCGAATTGCCTGCATGTAAGTGCACCATGTCATGCAATGCCCATGGAGGCCAGAAGAAGGCATCAGATTCCCTGGGAACTGGAGTAACAGTTGTTTACTGGCATGTGGGTGCTCAGAATCGAGCCTGGTCCTCTGTAAGAGCAGCCAGTGCTCTTAACCGCTGAACCATTTTCTTCAGCCTCCTTTTTTCCTTTTACTCGTGTATAAATGTTAAATTTCTTTCAACTTTTCTTTAAACACTAATATACTTTATTTCATATAATATAATTCATTGGTGAAGCTCTCTATAGTGTTTTTACATGCTTTATTGAGTTTTCATTTCCAGAAATTGTTTGTACTCTTTCAAATTTCAATTTCCTTATAGTTTTCTTATCTATGTTGCTGACCTACATATGGGTATTGAGTTGATTTCCTGACTTCATTCATCTGTTTGGAAGTCATTGAACATTTTTATTTCAAGAAGATTTTTAAATTAGTCTTCCAGAATTTCAAATGCTTCAGTATTTTTAGATATGGAATTTGAGAAGATATAATCACTTACCTTGCCTTTTCGGTTTGCTTATATTTCTGTATTGTAATTTCTATATCATTCAAGATAGATATCTCTTCCAATTTCCCTTGCTTTTAGTGTATGTCCATCTGTTGAGGGGTCAGTCTCCATTCCCACCAAGAGAGAAGAGAAGAAATCACTGTAATGGCTGATAAAACTATATATAGAATATAAACAAAAAGTTTAAAACTTACTACACCACAATAACTATGAATCAGATCCTGGAAAAAAATAATACAGTAAACTATGAAGTTAAACTTAAATTGAGGAAAAGTAGAGACACCAATTGAACTCAGTGATTATGAAAAAAGAGGACATGAGTTTGGGAGAATGAGGGGGTGGGGGAGTGAGGGTAGATCTGGGAGGAATTATGGGGAGGAGAGGCAGGGTAAATATGATCAAAATGCATTGTATGATAGTTTTTGTCTGATGACTTTGCATGGATCTTGTGATGCTGTCACCATTTCTGTAAGTTCATACGAGCAAGGTCCCAGGAGCCTGTAAGACTGTTTCCTTGAAGTCATGTATCTCCTCCTCTGGCTCTTAAAATCTTCCTCCCCATCTTCCCAAATGGCCCCTTGGTCTTGGGTGGGTGATGTTTAATATAGGAGTGCTGTCCAGCAACTCAGAGTCTGCCATCTCCTATTCTCTATATTTTGACCAGTTGTGGCTTTTTGTATTCATCGCTCTCTGTTGCATGAGGAAGTTTCACAAACGAGAGTTGAGAGATGCATTAGTATTCCCTCTACCCCTTGTCCCATTATGTCCTGTCAGCCTTAGGTATAGAGGTTCCATCAAGATGTGTCACTTAGGATTGGGCATCTCACAGATGCTCATTCTCTGGGTGACCAGCTGTGGAACTCTGTAATACTCTCAGTCTATTGCAAAAGAAGCTTTTTATGTGTGGTGACCGACATATTTGTCTGTAAATATAAGAATCTCACCGTGCATCCCTGCTCAGCATGGAAGAAGCCAGAGCAGTCGGCATCCCTATTCCCTATTGGCAATTTGGGTAACCCCTTCAGAGGATGACGTGATAAGAATAGGAAGTAGGAATTGGCTAGGCAGTTAGGGTAAAAAGGCCCCAAAGAAATGTAGCCAGTTTCTTGGCTAAAAGTCAAAATGTCAAATGGGCCTGTTAGCAACAGTCTGTTTCAAGGCCAAAAATGTCAAAAGTATTTGGGAGCTTGTATCTAATCCTTAAAAGATTTTAGGGTTACCTCTTCAGAGGGGGGAATGTTGGAGGGGAGGAAGTGAGCATGGATTTGATCAAAACACCTTATATGCATGTATAAAGTTCTCAATAAAGTTTTTGTAAAATTAAAAAATAAAGAGTCCATGTTTAGCATATAGTAAGAAATTATGTTTCTCTAGGGATATGAAAGACTTACGGTTTCCTCCAAAATCCTATCATGTGTATTTGACAGTGCCACACATGCGTTCCTGCCCATTGAGAGGGCTTTAAGTTCCATCAGCTAGCTGTTGATTACCCCCAAGATAAAAGTACCACTGCTGTACCAATACAGTTCGCTGTGATGGTCATTATTGTCCTTAGTAGGCATTAAAGCTGAGGTTAAACCATTGATTGGTTTTTCTCTTGTAGTGGCTCGCCTAGTGTCCTCTAAGACTATGAAAGCTAGTCTTCAGGGAAAAGGCTTCCAGGTCAGTCCCAGACCCATTGCTCCTGTGTCTGAAGTATGTCCTGTCTTCAGCAGTAGAGTCTTACCTTCAAGTTCTGGGAGATAATCAAGGACTGAGACAATAGCCTGCATAATGTTGAAAGTCTCTTAGATTACCCTGGCCAACAACTCAAAGGGAGATTTCTGACACTGTGTTTCTTGTTACATATCCTTCAGCTTTATACATGCATTCATGTACAAATATTGAATGTGTATTTTTCAGTAGGCTTTTGAAATAATACATTCCTCTCTGTTTTTCACACCAGTTATATCAGATAAGTATTTGTATGTCTATACCATAAACATCTTTAACAATTCTCTTAACCATGGATTTTTAAAACCGTGTCTAATGATTTGAAATTCTAAGCAATGTTTCAGTGAATTTCATTAGGTGTGCATATCTTTGTATTTGTGGTAATAGACCTTCATAGGATATTCCCAAGTTAAGAGCATATGTAGTTTTGTTAGGCACTTTCAGATTTTTTTTGTGGATGGGTTTTATTAATTTTCATGACTAACATCAATATATGAGGGTGTTTTCTCACAACCTCACTAATAGAACTTGCTACCTTTACCATTTTTCCTATATGTTACTAGATAGTAAGTGGTACTCAGGGTTCTTTAAATGTACACATATTTGTTAGTAAATTTCAGCATTCATGATTAGTTTGAAGTCTCTTCTTGACATTTTTGTATAAATTGTTGGTTCATATCTTTCATTCCTTTTATGTGATTTTTTTGGTCCTTTGTCCCTAAGTTTAGAGTACTATATACAAATAAAGTATTATCCATTTGTCTGAGATGTGCTGCTAATACAGCATTGCAATTTGTAAGTTATCTCTTGAAATATCTGTATTTGATATTTTGAAATATTTTTGTTTTTATGTGGCCAATTTTCTTATTGTTTATGTCAGGTCCTCCTACAATCTTAATACTATTTACAAGGCTTCCCTATGGTGAGATTAAAGACCTGCTGTGTTTCCTTAAAGAAGTCATGTGGTTTAATTTTTGCTTAGATCCCTAACTCATTTCAGTTATTCTGTGCATGGCATGTTCCATTGATCTACTTTTAAGTTTTTACTTATTTATCTATTTTTAGTTCTACTTTTGCTTTAAGGTTTGTTTGTTTTTTTTTGTATGAATGTACTGCCTGCATGTATGTAAGTGCACCAGTGTTGTGCCAAGCCCATGCAGGCCAGAAGAGGGCATTAAATCCCCTGAAACTGTAGTTACAGATGGTTGTTAGCCACGATATGGGTACCGGGAATTGAACGTCCTCTGGAAGATCAGCAAGTGTCCTTTACTGCTGAGCCACTCTCCAGCCCCTTCTTGGATGTACTTTGAGTTTCATTCTCAATGTCTCATTTGCTCTAGACCATGTTACATAACTGTATTTGCACCAGTGGTTTTCCTATGTTACTTTTATTATATACTAGTTATAGGATTTCTAAGCTATTCTACTGGGCTATTTGTATATTTATGCACTATTAACATGATGATGCAATTACAGAAATTGTACGGAAAGTTTTTTTTTTCTTGCCCTGATAGCATAAGCTTCTTCTGTGTTTTTCCTTTCACTTATTTCTTAGTTATTCTTTTTTCCTATTCAATATATTTTGGTGATATTTAGATGCTTTCCCCTACCCACTAGATGCCTTCTCCATCCACATCGCACTCTCATATATATATATATATATTCATGGCTTATAGAGTCTGATCTGTGTCCCCAAATGTCCTTCATTGTAGGTTCATCCACTGGGCCCACCAAAAGTCCCATCCCTCCCTCTCCCTGTTAGAAACTGTCTTTCCCCCTCCAAGCTGCTGTCAGTTGCCAAAATTTCCTTAGGTTGGGATTTCGTACCCACTTCCCCATGTCTATGCTGGGATTTTGTCTGGTTTGAGCTTGCATAAGACTTGTGCATGTTGTTACCATTGCTGTGAGTTCATATGAGTAACTGACCAGCTGTCTGGAAGACTGCGTTTTCTTGTGACCATCCACTCCTTCTGGCTTTTACAGTCTTTTCTCTCATATATGAAGTTTATAGTCAAGCTATCTCATTAAAAAAAAGTTTGTAGAGGTTTTGAAAATTGGATTAAATATGTACATTAGCTTAGTGATTACTGACATCTTTTTAATGTTGAGTTTGTTAGGAAAAAACTTCAAATTTGAATAACATTGCTCCCAGACACTTATAATGGAATATGGAGCACTTATTTAACCTGATTGGACAAATCCACAACTGAAATTTTGAACTAAAATGTCAGAATATTTCACAGATTTTCTCAGAACATGATGACCTTGTAAATGGGCACAAAGGCAAATTATTAAGAGAATTTCAGTAACATTTGTATCAGTTTGTGAAATCGGTCCCCTTGCTCCCAAAGACTGTCCAGTTACTTTATCACAAGGCTGTTTGGTTTTTCCTTCACACAAAAGAATCACAGTTCTGGACAACGGGGCCATAAGTAAATACTCTTATACTTTAACCTATAATAAGGGCCCATGTTTTGAAACCTTGGAAAATGTTTTCCAGACTACTTGAATTTTGTATCCTTGGATTGCCATCCTAAGAAGTCTTGAGAAAATATACCACTTCTTCATCCTTAACTTGAAAATTTTTACTTTTAATCATCAAGTTACACCATCGAAGAACAATGTCTTACTATATAAGGTATGCTATAGCAAAGTGCTGTAATAGGTGGTAATAAGTAACAGAAATGTGCTTCCTGGTTGTTCAAGTGTTTTCCTTGAAATTTTCCTTTATTTTTTCTTATTTGTATATTATTTCATTGTTTTATGAACTATCTAATTTAATCATGCTATTTTTTTCTCAGTCAGCATTTTGTAGTCTTTTCAGACATTTTGTTTGTTTCGGCAGTAAAGGGAAAACAGGAGTGTTCTGATTCTGCTTCTTTTATGTGTTATGGTGTTCTTAACTTCTTCCATTTTGTTTCTTTTCCCATAATTACCAAATTTTCTTGAATGCATCTCTTATCCATATATGATTTTACTCTGCCCCAGAATCTGTGTTTTTCAAAGACTGAAGTTTAAAGTAATCCATATGCTTATGTAATACTAATTTGATATTCATTTATTCATAGAAAATATTAACGATACATCTTAATGAGATTCACTGTGATATACCCTACCTGCTTCTAGTCTACACTGATCACATCCAACTGTGCTGTACAACTCCCACCCTCATCTGACACCTATCTCAGACCCTAGGAATCACTATTTCATTATCAGGTAGACTGTTCCTTACTTCCCATATGTGAGAAACAATGTATAGACTTAAATCAGACAATTTTTGAAATCTCTTCCCTGAATTGTACCCCATTCTTTTGTTTTTACGATTTTAAAATGTTAGACTGATTTGTGACCAGTCTATCTACTCATGTATAAGTCCTGAACCATCTTCCTTCATGTGTATCTCTTTCAATTTTGGTCTGTCTTCATCCTCACAAATATGGTGATAGGAGTGTGACAAATCATGGGATGGAAAGTCATTTTTTTCTCTTTAATCTATTAATTTGATATCTTAATATTTTCTATTTCCAAGATAATAAAGATGGTATCACTTTTGTGTACATTTACCTTTCCTTTTTGTTAACTTGTATACTATTGAGCAGAAATTAGTAAGTTAACAAAGGACATTTTATCATATATACATATGTGTATGAGGGTTGATTATATATACATGTACACACAAATAGACCTTTATACACTCATAATTCAATCTATAACTTGTGCCAATAGTAGAGGTCTCTAGAGGCGACTGTCTGATGCACCACATGTTTGATCTCTAAATATTTTCTAATTTCTAGCACTGGTTGCAAAGAAAGGTGGTGGAATGGTGGATATCTATCAGGACTTCTAAATGTTTCTCATCCTGATACAGGCTCATAAAGTTGGATGAGAAGGGCCCAAGTACACTGTTGGATATTTCCATACAGAGTCTCCTGAGTAATGAGCCCGCAGCAATCTGTGCTCTGGAAGAGATCCCCAGAACGCTTTTTCTTCCATTGTTCAATGCTGCCTTCACAGGTGGGCATAAGAAGACACTAATGGCAATGGTGAAGGTTTGGCCCTTTTACTGTCTCCATATTGGGACATTACATGTACAAGAGCTGAGCTGTGAAATCTTGAAAGCCATGGTTGATAGCCTTCAATTCCTTCCTGTCCAGAACTCTATTTCTCGGTAAGACTATATATAATAGAGACATTGTAAGACACAAATAATTATGCTGCATCTTGCTAATCTCTCAGAAGTAGTAAATAGTGAATGCTGAAGATATATGTGTGAGGATGTTGGCCCAACACTTGAGTTTGCCTTAAAGGCTGGTGTCTTACAGTGTTACGTATGAATTATAAGTGATTGAGGATACTATTGGTGGATTTATATAATGAGTGTTATTATATAGGAGAAAGACACATTTTAAGACTGGTGAGGATTTAAGGGGAGTAAAAGATGGGAAAATTAAAGGAGGCTGAATATACGTTGCCTTGTTGGAAGATATTATAAGGGCTGCTGCCAATCAAGAATAAAAGAATTTGTAGCTATATATCATCATTGATCCTACTGGATTTTATTATAATTTGCTACCTTTCTATACAGGAGCCCCAAACTGAGGATTCTAGATTTAAGGCAAGACACTGACCATAGGACTACATGCCCTGAAATCACTCCCAAGTCTCCTTCCTGTTTTCATTCTTGTGTTTATTCTAAACACTCTATCCTGAAAATAGAAGACCAGTACAGTATTGCAAATACAATGTATAATACTCAATTCTCTAGGCAGCCTATGGAGTTAATAATGGATCTTTCCCTTGATGGTACCTTAATGGAAAGGGAATTTTTGTCTTTGCTTATGAGTAAAGTTGAACAGAGCTTGGGGTCCTTGCACATCTGCTGTCGAGATTTGCAAGTTGATAATTATCTGTTTGCAAAAGAAGCCTGAAATTTCTTGATCTCAAATGTGTTGACCAACTGGCAGTTGATCAGAGTTCTCTGAGTGACATCACTGCCCTTTTGTCTCATATGATCCACTTGGAAAGCCTTAGTCTGTTTAAAATCAGTTTTAGATCTCTGAATGAGAAAGTCTTTAGGACTTTTCTCACTCCCTTGAGACATATGAACAACCTTAAAGAGCTCAACTTCTCTTCCTTCTGCTTCAAAGATAATCTGAAGAAAGTACTCAGGTAAGAGTTTGGGCTAGGTACTTGGGTTTCCTGAATAGCTTGTTATTAAGACAGGTAATAAACATTCATGAATATTCCTAAGCTCCTCAAAACTTTTTACACCTTCCACCTCTACATTTATGAGAGTTTGAAGTTTACCATGACAGAGACTGTCTCATGTTTGGGAGAAAGACACAATTACAAAACCGTTAGTCAGACAAACCTGTGCAGACACTATGCTAGGTCCAGAAATATATGAGTAAAAACACTTCAATTTTCTAGAAATAAACCGGAGGAATTGAGATACAGAAAGATTTTATGCTATAGCATTGATGCAGATGATCATAGATACCGATAGTTCATAATGTTAGATCACTTCGCTAATCAATTATCCACAGCTATTTTGGCTATGAATATAGAGATTGTCATTTAGGGACTAGCCAAAGAGAATCATTTTGTTGCCCTTTCTTATCCCTTTCCATCAAAATGAGGAACTAAATCTACTCTGAATAGTTTTATTAGTACTAAGTGTGTTGATTTTCCGACTTAATATTTCACACAACGATCTATAATATTCTATCTTATACATTCTTAAGATTAAAAAATTGTATGTTGGGGCTAGAGAGATGGCTCAGCAGTTAAGAGCACTGACTGCTCTTGTAGAGGACCTGGGTTCGATTCCCAGCACCCACATAGCAGCTATGAACCGTCCTTAACTCCAGTTCCGGGGGATCCAACACCCTCTTCTGACCTCTGAGGGCACTGAGCACTAGCCAGCTGCTCTTGCAGAGGACCTGGGTTCAGTTCCCAACTCCCACATGACAGCTAACAGTCATCTGTAACTCCAGTTCCAGGGTATCTGATACCCTCTTCTGACCTCCATGGGCATTTCAGGACACAGAGTGCACTCACATACATGCAGGCAATACACTCATACACATAAAATAAAAATAATAAAATATTTTTGAAAATTGTATGTCAGATTTAGAAAGTAATGTTTCAGAGTCACAAAACTATTAAGTGAATAAAAATGCACATTGTTACCTGCTGCTATAATACATTTGCAAAATAGTTTATTCTAGATCAGTAGGTACAGATTCATTTATCCAATCCTAATTCTTCAGAAATGCTTTTCTGTTTTCACTCCACAGAGTCTTACCACCTGATTTGGATTTCTTGTATCTGCCATTCTGTGAACTTACTTATAAAGACTTCAAATTTCTGTTCCAGAGCCCTCAGGCCAACCACCTAAAGCTATTGAATCTTAGTAACCACCCAATGTATTGGGAAGATTGTGAGCCCTTTCAGACACTGCTACAGAATGTCTCTGGTACTTTGCAGCACCTTGAGATAAATCATTGCCTTTTAACTGATTCTGTAATCTCTTCTCTCATTCCTGCAATAACTAAGTGTATCCACCTCCATATCCTGGGTTTTGCTTCTAACCCCATTACAATGCCTATGCTGATTAGAATTCTGCAGCAATTAATACCCATGAAAGACCCGAAATATGTGATTTATCCTATCCCTCTACATTACTATGAACAATGGCATTTTGAGAACAGTTTAAACCTATGGAAGCTTGCAGCTGTACAAGCACATTTGAAAATGATGCTAGAGATGGCACAGCAGAGCGACATGAATTGGATCACTTACTCTGATTAGATTTCATAGTCAGAGTCCCAACTTGATACGTGCAAGTTACTTTAAACTTCTCGTATTTAAGGTTGTCTTAAGTTACTTATGAGTACCCCTCCAGATTTAACAGTAGAAATTATAATCTATGCCTACTAACAAATGATATCTTCAACTTTAAGTTGATGTTTCATTTCCTTTCTCTAAAACTGCAGTGTCTTAGTTCTCCTTTCATATACATTAGGCAAGGATCTTTTCAGGATATTATTGCAGGTGACAAGAGTGAAAAGGCAGGTAAGACAAATTCCTACCTCAAGTGACTCGGAGGCCAAATGTTTCTATGGTTTATCCGTTCATCCATTTTTTTTTTCTTAGTGCATTTTGAAAAGTTATTTCGCCCTCTTGAAAACAAATTTTCTTTTCTTTGTTCTTCCTACATTCTTTGTTCAATACAAAGTGCATCCCATCTTATTGGATCTCTCTTCAGCAGAGTTCATGGCTTAAATGTTACCCTTTCTGATGCTTTCACTCACTTCTGCTAGTCTGATTTCTCTCATTGTGAAAAATTTCTGAAATTAGAAATTAGACTTAGATGAAGGAAAAGCTTATTTCCACTTTCAGATGTTTTAGTCATGGTCACTCTGTCCCATTGCTTTGGGACATAATCAAGGCAGAACACTGTAGAGAGTCTGTGGCATATGAAGATCATCTCACTTCATGAGGGCCATGAAGTATTATAGAAAGCAGAGGTCCTGAGGTTCCAATATACCCCTCAAGACCATAAATATCATGGCCTACTTCCTGAGAGTAGGCCCACTCTATAGTTTCTCCCACCTCCCATAGAATCAACAGAACTGGTACCAAGCCTTCCTCACATGAACTTTTGGGTGTTAGTTAAGACCCATTCTATAATACTTCCCTTACTTTATTCATTTCTTTGGTATGATACATACTAGCCATATGTGTGTATTGACTCTGAGATCTTTCACACTCCAAATTATGATGTAATTATAAATTCACTTTGTATATTCTAGACTTAGGAATAATATGTACAAACTCAAATAGTCAATAATTTACTTGGGGCTGAGTAAATAACTCAGTCAATAAAGTGCTTATCACACAAGCATGGGACCTGTGTTCAGATCCTCAGTGCTCATGTAAAATATAGGCACCAAAGTTCACACTTTGAATCTCAGTCCTGAGAAAGTAGGGAAAGAAAAATACCTGAGCCTAGCTGGCCATTGCAGCAAATCTGTGAGGTCTAGGTTCAGGGAAAACATCTTGTGTCAAAAAATATGTGAAGGACTGATTGAAGAAGACACCTGATATTGACCTCTGACCTCTGAATACACACACACACACACACACACACACACACACACACACAAAAGATCATGTGTACCAACACACTGAAATGGACATGTACATGCAGACACAAAAATACTTTACTCAAATTGTTGATTTACTGAAATAACACTACATTGAAAAGACAGGAAAAGTATAAAGTTAGTATTTTGGTCTTGCCACATGTTGAAATACCAAAGACACTGCAAAAAAAAGGATAGAGCATAAGTAATAATTTTTATGCAATGTTGAAATAAATTAGCCTGCATCTCAAGGCTATAATAAAAAGTAAAATGTGTAAAAGTAAAGAATAATATCATTATATTGCTTTCATTTGAAATGATACAGTGCTAGACTTAAGTCTAAATTAGTATAACCATAGTCAATAGTACCTTAATTTTGCTTTTAGTAGTCCAAAATATAATAAACTATATTTTAGAAGCAGAGTACAACAAAAACAAGTAGCAAGGTAGTTAATTTGTTTGTATTGATTATCTTTTGGTGATAAAATTGCATTTCCAAGTTAGGAAAAACATGTTAAAATAAGATATAGTTCATGTGTCATATTTCCTTTGTAATATGACACTTCCAAGACTTGAAAGAATGGAAAATTAATTATTTGTTCACATTTTTCACAATGTTTGTGTTATGATATCATAATATACAAAATGTCAAAGACCTATTAAAGTGCAAGTGTAGTGAAGAATTGATTTACAGTGCTTCCAAGTTACCAATGTATTTGTTTTGGCATTTTGAATTAAATAAAATATTCTTAAAAATTAAGTTCACCTGTTTCTTTGAGCTTTATCTTTTGGTTTTGATTCCTTTTGTTATGGCTCTTACTATATATATATATATATATATATTCTCTACATAAGCTGGGATCTAGTGTTCAAAGTACAGTTATGACTAATGTAATAACAGTAGAAGGATATTTGGGAAATGGAGCAAGATTGGAATATGTTCTCTCTTGACTCCATCCTACCTTGGTGCCTTGCTTCTGTCAGTGGCACCACACCCTGAGAGAAAAACTAAAGCCCACAGTGAGCAGAGATTTAGAAAATCATTGTTGTAATGATAATGTGAATGGCATTCTTTAGGTGTTGCCAGAAGGTGCTTCCAATTCTTTGCTTTCACTAGAATTGACGATATAATCTAAGTGACTACTAAGCTTAGGGATGATTAAAAATATTTTTAGGGGCTGAAGAGATGGCTCAGCGGTTTAAGAGCACTGCCTGCTCTGACAGAGGACCCGGGTTTGATTCCCAGCACTCACATGGTGGCTAATAGCCATCTGTAACTCCAGATCCAGGGGAATCTGACGCCCTCTTCTGACCTCTGCGGGCATTACATGACACAGGTGTGTTTACATACATGCAGGCAATACACTCATACACATAAAAATAATAAAATATTTTTGAGAATATTTTTAATGAGAACTATCCACTTGGGATCATTTTGTCCCTTAAAAAATTTATTGTGCTGGGATAAATATACCATTTTCAAGCAATTATCAATATACATTGAACATATTCTCCCAATACCCTTCTACTCTCCCCTTTCTTGCTCATCTCTTCTCATGAATTCATTTGTTCCCGAGACAGTTTCCTTTCAACTTTTATATTACTTGAATATACATGACTTATGTTTTTATATAAAATCTATGACTCACAAATTAGGAAAAACTGTGACATTTGTCTTTCTAAGACTGGATGAATTCACTTCATATGATTATCTCTAGTTGCATTCATTTTCTTGGAAAAGATATAACTTCATACTTTATGACTCAAAAACATTTCCATTGTGTATGTAAACCACATTCTTATCCATTCATCTGTTGATAAACAATAGATTGGTCCCATAAATATAGCTATTGTTAACTTGCTGCAGTAAACACTGAGATGCAGGAAACTGTGGTATGTTGGTTTAAAGTCTTTTGGACAAATATCTAGAAGTAGTATAGTTAGATCATGTGGAAGATATATATTTGTATTTTTGGAAGAACATCCATATGGATAATTTACCAGCACTGTATAAGGGTTCCCTTTTGTCCACTTTTTCATCAGCATTGGTTGTTATTTATTTTCTTGTTGACTGCCATTCTGACTGGGGACAGATAGAATTTGAACTGAGGGTGGTTTTGTTTTGTTTTGTTTTGTTTTGTTTTGTTTTTGCATTTCTCCGATGGCTAGTAAAATTGAATACCTTTTAAAGCTTATTGGCCATTTATAGTTCCCCTTTTGAAAACTGTTTACTCACTTAACTGCCACATTTATTAAGGTTTTTTATTTTGTGCTGTTTTTAAGTTATTTGGTTTCTTTAAATATTCTATTTACTAATCCTTTAGCAGTTGTATAAGGAATAAATATTTTACCCTATTGTGTGGAATATCATCTTACTCAGTTGTTTCTTTTGCTATGCAGTAGTTTTTGTTTCATGAGGTCCCATTTGTTAACTTTTAGCACTGGTTTTTGAAAGTTTAAATTTAATTTTTGCAAATTTCAGACAATATATTTTGATCATATTTAGACCCCTTCCCCTATCTGTCCCACTATTATACTCTCCTAACCATGTTTCATGTATTCTCCCATATATGTTAAGGCCTATTGAGCTAAGTTTGTGTCCCCAAATGTCCATCAGTATGAAACCATCCACTGGGAACCTGGTATCCCTATATAGATAGCCTCTCTCCCTTAAAGAAAACCAACTCTCACTCTTCCAGTAGTTAGCAGTTGCCAGTAGTTCCTCAGGTAACTTTGGGGCTTCTTATCCATTTCTCCACTTCCGTGCTGGTATTTTGTGTAGTGTGAGATTTTATGAGTGCATGCCGTTGCCATTGCTGTAAGTTCTTATGAATAAATTCCCAGTTGTCTAAAAAATGTTATTTCCTTAAGGTCATCTGAAGCTTCTGGCTCTTATATTCATGCCATCTCTTCTTCCACAATAATTCCTGAACCTTGGGTGGCAGAGGTTTAATATAGGTATCTTATTCAGGGATAAGAGTGCTTCAGGCTCTTAATACTCTGCACTTTGTCTAGTTGTGGATTTCTAGGTTAATCGCCATCTGTTGCATAAGGAAGCTTCACTGGTGAGTTGAGAGATGCATTAATATTCTTTCTGGCCCCTGTTCACTATGGTCCCCGAGTTTTAGGTGTACAGATTGCATTGTACACATGTCACTAAGGACTGGGCACCTCCTAGTCACTTATTCTCTGTAACTGACCAGTTGTGAAACTTTGTAATCATCTCCATCTGCTGCAAAAGAAAGTTTCTTTGGTGGGAGGTGACAGATACACTTGTCTGTAAATATAAAGACACATAAGGAAGCTTCACTGGTGAGAGTTGAAGAATGCATCAGTTTTCTCTCTACCCCTTGCTCTACTATGTTCCATGAGCGTTAGGTGTAGAGGTTCAGCTGTAGATATGTCACGTAGGACTGGCTATCTCTCAGACGTATATTCTCTGTGCCTGACCAGTTGTGGAATTCTTCAGTAGCCTCCATATGCTGCAAAAAGAGAGCCAGGGATGATTCATGAACACAGGGAAGCAGAGGTTCTCAGGTCACTGGAAGCTTGCACATGTGAATTTGTGGCAACAGTGGCATCAAGCTCAGGACCTATGCCAAATTCAACTAGACAAGAGTCCAGGCTGGAGTGTGAGAAATGGGTGGTGGGTCAGCCCTAGAC